GACACTTAGTGTTCTTGGTGGTTTGTCACTAAGTGCACTTGAAGATAATGTGAGGAATAGAGCACGATTGAGTACAATTCAATGGGCTCATAAAACATCTTTAGTCCCATCACAAAGGAAATCAGACTGTAAAAAAATACATTTTATCAGGAAGTAGTTTTTAGAATAACAAGGCTGTTGTTTTGATCAAACCAAGAATCTTCTTATGTCGAGTTGTTTTTCATTTCGCCGTGAAGATAAGAGACAAAACACACACAATCAGAAGTATCAGTGCAGATTTGTTATGTGTGAGGAGATGTTGTTTACGGGTTTCTTCCGTCACTGTACAAACTCAGAAAACAACACGGCCTTAAGTAAGTGGGTGGCATGAATCTAAAAGATCGAGTATGAAACAATTTTGTAATAGTTGAGCAGAGACAAGATGTTCTTAAAGACAGGTATGTTAAGTGAACTCATGTCCCTACCGGTGTCTCTTCTCCTCATCTCGTTCGAAGGAGTTCGATGCGATGCTCTTCATTGCCTGGAGGGGCGCTGCTGCTCTGGCCATTGTGTTCAACCTCAATCTCCTCACCTATCATGAAAGCCAATTCTTGCTTCCAACTTCTTCTTTTAGTGACCTCACACAGCGCAAGCAACTGTTCAGTCTTTTCCTTGAAATAGAACTTACGTTAGGGAGTTGCTCATAACGGGTTTGTCGGCGTTAGTTTGTCTGAAATTCTGCCCTGGTTGGGAGAAACACCTCCCGGGTTGAGAAAAGTGGCTGAGTATTTCTTAAACTATTAACCCTTACTCCTCCCATGTGATACCCTCACACTGGACGTCTGACAGTAGGGGTCAATGGCTGCATCTGTAGACTGAAGGTGTGTGAAGTAAAAAGGAGAAAGTCAATGGCCAGGTGTGGGGGGGGGGAGAGACAGGCCAAAGTCAATACATTTAACTCTAGATTAAAACTATTGATCCCAGCCCATTTGTGCACGATAAATAAAGTGTGAGGGGGGTTGTTGAAAGACAGCCGGGACTAAGTTTCCCCTGCGCTGGAGTGTTCGCACCCTCCACTGTTTGCCCTGAGAGGGTTGCAGCCCCCCCCCCCCCAATGCCTCATTCTCATTTCGTCGGTGCCACCTGCATTGATTTTCAATTTGTTTCCCTCTGGCTGCGGATCATCAGTTATATGGCCAAGAGAGAGTTTGGGGGGTTCTCCTTTCAGAGGGGCCGCAGGAGTCGAGGGGGCCGACTTGCATGCATTCCCAGTACAAATGGTGTTTTGATAAAAAATCACTTGTAAGTCAATATTTTTTTATTAAACTGTGCACAAGCCTGATTGATGAAGATAGGTGTTTGGCAGAGTATGTGGAGGAGAATGTGTATCTGAGTTTGAGTGTGTGTGTGTGTGTGTGTGTGTGTGTGTGTGTGTGTGTGTGTGTG